GACGGTGACAGCTGTTAGAACTAAAAACCGGATCAGGCTTTGCTTTCTGTAATCCGTTACAGTAATGCTGTTCAGCGAAACGTTTCAAGCAAAAGTCGATCCTGAAATGGAAAGGAGCTACGAAGCTTTACCTGATAGCCATGCGATGAAGTGAATCTCCAACACGAAATAGCCGGCGTTTTCGATCAGGTCGCCGATGTACAAGTAAACCAGGGCCATGCCAAGGTTCTGCACGGACGTCACGACGCCGTACGCCGTAGCCATTACCTTGTTGGGCACAATGTACGACACACACGGCCAGAAACAAGATGCCAACAGCGAATACGATACTCCGGCGATCACCTAGCGGTTCGCAATCAGTCACTGGGCGGCCAAATACGGTACCGTTTCACCTACCATCAGGAAGTACGGCGTGACCATCGTGAACGCCAACAGGAAATGCTCCAGCAGCGCCGCCAAGGCGCTGATGATCATCCACATAATGTTGCGGCCCGTCTGATCCACCAGGACACCGCAGACTGGCGACATGACTATCGAAATCATGTAGATCAGACTATAAAGTCGGATGGCGGCCGATCAGCGATCCATGCACAACACTCTTTCCGTTGCCTACCTGTTGCACACGTCGGCGTGCTGCGGGCTCAGCTTGTACTTGCTGATGAAGAACAACCTGTCCGAGGCTAGCGTTACGGCTTATGAGGCGAACAGAACAGTTCAGCTTACTGGGCGTTGGAAACGAACGGGAACACGGTCGTGTAGTAAGCGACGCAGACGAAGCACATGATCCAGAGACCAAGCGGCAGGACCAGTATGTGTGTAATTTTTACCGTCTCTTCTACCTTGCCGTTTGGCTCGGCACCGGCTGCCTGCAGGCTTATTTCGGACGACCGGGAAATCAGTCTGGAGTATTCGTCCCTTCGGCGATCGAAGTACGCCAATATGAACGCGCATGCCCAGGAGAACAGCGTAAATACGGTGGCTAAAATAAAATGCTTTTCTACTGCCTGCCACAGGTAGAACGAGTGTTTTGATCGGCGTTGGCTAATAAACCGGGTTGCTTATTGGCTGTAGTCAGCAATGCTAAAGGTCAAAGCGCAGCAAAATTCTGTGATATTCATACTCTTTCTGCATGATCAATGATCACCGACAATGTTTATACAGTCATTTTTGCATTCATTCATTCATTCCAATTCAGCGTCAGTTTTAGAGGCTTTTCTTAATGGTCCAGGTTTCCCCTCAAACAAGTAGGTACGGGATGCGAGTTACTCCGTATGACCGATTTACTTGCTATTCCCTTTGCTTCTTGACCATCTTCCATATGATTTTTCAAGAAAATTCACGTGGCGAATTGTGCTGTACTATGACATTCCGATTATCCGCCCGAAGTTGTGTTCCCTCGAGCTAGTGAAGCAGTGACTCAAAAACGAGGGAATCTTGGATTCGTCGATCTGAAACCTGCTTCGTTTTGTCCCAGAAATGTTTCAAAAAACCTCATTACCCCATTGGCCTGCTGAGTGGCACTCTTTCTACCGTATCCAGCATTCACAAACACAGACAGACCGTAGGAGAGATGGCACTGCGTTGCATCTTTTGGTTCTTCCTTCATCACCGCAAAACTGCATAATTCATATTTCTACCTGGCTGAATCAAATCGCATGCTTATTTCCTAGTTTCTTTTGCTGCCGCTTATAAATGCTATCCAAAATGCCAGCCGTCTCCAGCGCTGCTTTTGTGGCACTTCAGGAATCAGTCAGATTCGATTATCGCTTATACTTTCTGATCATAGAGGCAGACGCATCAGACAGTGTCTCCAACGTTTCCGCACATCACGAATCTGCAGAACAGACTGACTGGGTGTTCTCAACCATGCACGTGCATCGCTTTCGATCAGAGTTCATATTTCGGCTTCTTGGCATGCAAATCGGGATCACCACTGGAGGAAACGAACGTGACGAAATCATCTGCTAATAACAGTAGACTCAATCGGGCATCTCTCAGACACCTATGCTGTACCTGCCGATCCAGTCCATCGATGTTGTGAATACGAGGGATGAAGATTAGCACTTGAAAAGGCGACCAATAGGAACACACCTTGAGACTCGTCGTGTTATTAGAATTAATGTGAGCATATCTCCGCGATCAGTCGTATATGCTGTTTCGACCACACTCAGCAGCTGATCATGCAAACAATCTTCTTGCATCGCTGTTCACAACAGACAGTTCGACCAGGGCAGTCTGTCCCTGTCGTAAGCCTTTTCAGATTTACGAAGCATCCACAAACCTCATTTGCATATTACTAGCAATTTTCGTAGAGCAGCGAAAAAGTGAAGATTTGGTCTACGGTCATTTCCCGTCATACCCTTTCCAATGTCCCTCCCCTTCAGACCTTACTTTCTTTCCTTTCCAAGGACTCCACATGAATTTAAGTGAAAGTGCTTTCATGACTGCTAGACAGTAATAATCTCCTCTTTTCAGACACATGGAACCTCCCGCGTTGCCACTGCTTCAGTACTTTTACGCAACTCCAAAAAGCTTTGCAGAGAGAGGGCTAAGGCACAGAATACCATCGCAATACAAGAATTCAATGACTCGATACTTTTTCTTCCCCATCGACCTCTTCACTGTAGCTGGTACCTCTACCACGGCGAGAGTACTTTCCATTTTTAAATTCACTTCTCAGGTATAGCCAAAGGCTGGATTGTGGATTTAAGTGATCGAACTGCTTTCCTTCCGTCCTAAAGGATGCAATTTTTTATTTGTATATAAACCATAATTCGACAGTTCTTTCGCGTGCGCAGCACGTGCTCTTGGCCTGAGCAATATTGAATATTCGTGAGTAAAGTCTGTCCGCTAACTTGTAGTCAGAGGTCGATTTTATTCCCAGCGATGCCGTGCCGTTGCTTTTACTATTTTCGCTGTCTGCTCTGCAACTTTGTGCTTTGTCTTTCATGCACAAAACGCTTCAAAGAAAATGAGAACTGTTAGCAGACCATTCAATATAAGCCCTTTGTTCCCTTTGATGACGTCATAATCTTCCGGTTTTCAACAAAACGTTCTTTCCTTGCTGTCAGACGCGGCATTACGCCTCTGTATTCCACGGCAACAGCAAGTCTAAGCAGGTACGGCTATTTTAACGATTCCAAAAATCTGACATTTCCTCTGTAGCTCGACTGTGCATCCGGTTCAACCTGGTCAATACATCAGTAAACAGGTTTCGCATAACTATATCTTGCTTCACCTTGATGATACTGGTTATCATTGTTTTAACACATCGCTGTATTGGTGTGTTAGTTGAGATCCTCAGCTTAAGCCTATTACATCGCAGAACATCTGTGGATCGGACTGATATGTTCGCTGAATTCCCAATTTTACAACACATTTGCTACAAGACCCCAGTTACTGCATGGTAGAAAGAAAAATTCTTCTCTTTGTATGCAGACCTCCTCGTGGAGATCCGCAATGTTGTGACCCCTACGCGAGAAGATCGGATATGGACTAGAGTAAATGGTTTATGCTCAACCAGTTTGTCGAACAAGGCCAAACCGCGCTTCTTAATTTTCACATTTAGCGAGATCGCATGTCCCCGGAAACAAAATGTTGTCCTTCTCTACGTGGACCTGTCATTCAACTGTCATATGACGTTGAGGTCCGACGTTGATGCTGAGGCCCGCCCAGTTCAACCGTCGTTCGAACAATTGTTTCCGTACCGTTCTACAACAGCACATTAACAATCACATCGCACGTGCATTCATTGATACTGTTGAGAAGTGCCGCAACGTTTACCTATTAGCATTGTTATCCCAAGGCAGGTGTGGCCTTGAACGTGTCTATCGATTGAATTGTAAATTGGTTTCATCAAGTTCATCGTAACCGTGCTCCCCTTTAAAATCAGCTTCAAATATGGAGCTAAGGAAAAAAGCTGAAGCTTACGACTCTTGCAAAACTTAGCGTGAATCCGAATACGAAATTGAGCTCTTTGCCATTGAACCATTTGACCAGGTACGTGTTCTGAACGACAGACAGGGATTCGCCTCCAAACCTAAAAATGCTTCGGCAAGTGCATTGCATTGACGATATTTTTGCCATCTGTCCCAGTGGTAATGAAAATAAATATTAGACGTTCTCAATAGCGTTTTCCCTGAAAATATGGAAATGGTCATTGCAAGAGAAAATAACTCCATTCTACCTTCTCATATTTTAATAATTAACTCCGGTAACTACTTTAAAGCTGAAGCTTATCACAAACCTTCTAACACACATAAATATCTAGACTTCAGCTCATAATGATTTAAATAGTAAACAGTCTGTAATTACAGTTTCAATAGATATAGCCGTAAAGCTCTGTGGCTTCGAATTTTTAAAGAACGAATAAGGAACGTAAAATTAACATAATGTAATAATAATTATGTTGTTAAATTCACCGATGATGCCATAAATGTAAGAATGGATTACTTAATCAAATTTAGATCAAAAATAATGGATCGTACTCAAATCTAACTTGTCAGAAAAATTTTTGTGAAAAATTGCAACGTTTACTTAACACTCAGTATCATACAAATGTTATATATAATGCTCTAATCAACTCAATGTGTTATTAAGTAATTATGAGAATAACTCACTAGGCCAGGTTTATTGCGACAGATATTGCGTAGGAGAAAGGAGGGGAATACTTTCGCTCAAAGAACAATGGTGCACTTACCACGCTGGAGCGGATGAACGTGAGCGACATGTGATAACGAATCGGGAAGAAAACCTCTTCCTCGGCAAAGTCAAGTAAGAACAACGCGAAAAGACCTGCGGAATTATGCAGCAAGCGGTACAACAAAAGATAAACCAGCCCCCCCCCCCGCTAGATTGAAACAGTGCACTGACATCATCAATAAAAAACACTGGTTGAGCAGGCACGCCAAAGAGGTTTTAATTATCCAATCCTGCGAAAATGTCATCCTTGACAAAAATACAAACTCAGCGCAGATTGAATGAGCTTTCTCGCCCTTGTCGCCCAGAAGCTGTTTAATCAGCAGTACAAACCAAAGGCTTTGCTTCTTGCTCAAAAGCTACACACCGCCACGGGCAAGAAGAAAACTTCAGGTTTCAGGTCACTTGAGTTTGTCCGCTGGAGAAGACGGATGACCGTGGACGAACGCTAACGACATGCGGCCACAAAGTACCTAGGAAGAAAGGAAGAAAGCCTATCCTCGCTCCAGGCCAGGTCAAAGAAAAGTACACAGGGGCCTCAGAGATTGTGCAATTGTGCAACGCGCAGCAGAGCAAAGAGTCGCCCCCCCCCAGTGGTCCCATTTTATGGGCATTATTAAAGAAAGAAACTGCGGAATAGGCACATCGAAGAAGCTTTAATAATCCAATCCTACGAAAATGTCGACCAGGACAAAAAATATGCACCGACTGTACAAGCCTTGTCAAGCCCGTTACTGAAAACTTCTTAACTAGTAGCATGAACCATATGATCGCATTTGCCTCCAAATGCCACAACAGCTGCGGGCCACAGAACCAACTGCAAAAATCAACCCGGGCCACCCTGAAGAAAGCCCATGAGGGATGAGTCAAAACGTTTATCTGATCAGTCAACCGATTGGCCAGTTTGCTTCCATCGTGTATAACTAATCCGATTTTATACGTTTGACACTTTTCAGTATGATCACAAAAACACGAACAAAATACTCTACGCATTTAAGGTTTAACGTGAATGCACATAGTGCACAACTGATTGTTAGCAATTGTGAGTTGTCAAGGCATCCTTCTTTTCTCAGAGTTCCGCCACGATCTGCTTCGGCCAGTGTACCCCTATGCCTTACGCTGCTTCACTGATCGATAACACCCATCGAAACTCAGACGTCACGTGAAAGCTATGCGCAAACGAAACACTAGGCGGAAAATGCTGAGGCTGAGTGCAAATTTTGTTTCAAATAAAAGTGGCAACATTTACGCGAAAATGAATCTTCCCACCACCATGAGCCAGAACTGGTTCGTCAGCGCACCAATGGCCAACACGACCTGCCGTACAGGAAAGAAACGATCAGTGGTCAACGTCGATGAACGGTCGCGTCGAGGACTGTACTCACCTGGCTAATCATGACGATGAAAGAGAAGATGATACCGCCCTTGCGGATGCCGAACACGCGATCAATGAGGACGCCTCCGCAGAACGCCAGGATTATGTTCGGCCAGGAGTAGATGTCGTACAGCAGGTTGTACTGAGCCAGACCCACCTTCATGTCCTAAACGAAAACTTGACGTCACGCACTTCGAGTGGTCTGTCTGCATATTCTGCATTCATTTTGTACGCCTTCACAACGAACCACGCTCAGCTCGACTGGAAGTCAAACGAGGGTCAGTTCCGTGAGGCAAATGCGGATCGTTGATTTTTCGCATGAAGGAAAACTATAATAAAGTTCATAGGTTATACAATATGCACTTCCTTAAATTCAAAGTGGCGGCGCACGCTCTTTGCTGATTTAGCCAGCTTTCAGCGCTGCAGGATCAACATAAATTATGGCCTCAAGGGACTCACGTCCGACAGCACGGCCGTAAGTCTTGCATGCTGTGACATGGACACGCACGTCGGAACACCGTGTTGTCCCAGTTGCTTAAGGATAAAGGACTTGGTGACTTCTGTCCATCTCTCGGCTGATCATACCAAATACAGACACGTTCAAATTTACGCAGCCGTTGCGTTCCTCAAGCCTTAACGTAAGTCGGATGTATTCCACTCCGCTCTTTGATAACACACCAAGCCTAGTTGTTTCCAGTACGGATATGCAGTAGTACACTGACATGTTTGAGACGTCATTTCTGCTAGTTGCTTTCGCAGATGTACACACAAACTTAATTTCAATGTGCAAATATTAATGCAATGCAATATGATGATGCAAATAAACCAAATGTTTAATTTGGCCGTTTGGTTTTCGTTCTCAAATTATCAAGAGACGGCTCAACAGTGGTTTTTTTCTTCTCTTCGTAAATCATGATGGCACTTCAACGCAGCTCACGAAAACACTAGAAGTTATTAAATTTTATCGTTACAGTTGCACTGCAGGTATATGTTCAATAGTAAACAAAGCGACACCGAGGAAAGTGCATGCACGCATAGCTTTGGCCTTCCCTGCTGCAGAAGACTGCGGCGTTAATTGACTTGCGAGTAACGTGGGCTCAATAAGAAAATTTTTATAACTCGACATTATTTCA